TGTTCCATGACTGATGGGCCCTCCGTCCCACCACGGACACCGGTACCTCCTCACAGGTAAGAATCTGCTAAACATGTAGCCCGTCAAGGTATACCACGTGCCCCGGAATTATGCACACAACTCCTCCACTCGAGGTGTACATATTTCCTCCACTCGAGGTGTACAACGTGTCGTGCATACTCAGAAGCTCTGGTAGTAAGGCCAACCGTTAGGCTAGATCATTGACTCGGTCGAGAACTAAAAGGATTAACAATCATGCGACAACGGCTTCTTACTCTCCTCATAACCAAGGTGTACCACACCGCTATCCGTACCAAAGGAAATCTTGTACGGAATAATCGGAATCGTCGCCTAATAACCATCGTTATAAGCGAACTTACCCATGGTAGTGCATTTATCAACACACAAGACTTCAACCGGTCTTCCGTGTATGGATAGCCTGCTCCAATTTTACAACCATTTGGGTTAGATACATAATGCTAAGCTTCAGTCTGGTGCCCGGGTCACGCTGAAAACTTGCTTACGATCTCATCATAAACCGTGAGTAACCGTCAGAGACGGTCGACACGAGATCGCCCTCGCCTATCTAGAAAAATATGATCGGCTCTGACTCTAGTTTATTTATTCTTATTCCTTTTATGACATGATTCGTATGAGGGAATGGCGTGGAAATGGAATTATCATTTCCTTACTCCTTCCTATTCCCATAATTGGTATATTTTTTAGAAACGAATGCCCATTCCAATGGGAATTGCAAAACCCATCTATATGGGATTATAGTTAATTGATGGTTTTCTCATTCTCATATGTTTAGGAATCGATTTTTCAAAAAATAAAATTAGCGAATAATAATAACAAATGAATATATAATATATACTATATTATCATGATTAAATTATATTAAATAAAATCATTTTTAAAAATTATTTTAAATAAAAAATTTAAAATTTATTTTTATTTATTAGTCATATTTTAATTATATTTTTTAAATACTTGTATAAAAATAAAACTCGCATAAATGTACTTATAAATAGTTTAGAAAAATTTTATTTTATTTTATATAATCATATATATTATATATTTATATTCATAAATTGAAGTATATTTGACCACATATGCTTATTTATATAATGATATATTTGTATTAGTTAATTGCCTCTATATATAATTCTCTAATGTGCTAAGCCTAAGTGGCAGGCTCGTGCGTTTCGTAAGCTTAATTGGCATAAATTGGTGCTTCGTATTGACAAATGTTGAAGTTTGGTTTTGACTATTAGGCTTGGGAATTACTATAAACTATTTTAGTTTTTTTTTTTTAAGTTACCATATACTACTCTTACCTTTTTTATTTACTTCATATAATAATTAATATAAATATATATTCTTTTTATTTTAATACTTTATAAATTTTTTATTTGTATTATATTTTTTATGTATGATCTACTAAAATAATCATATTTTGACATCCATATTGCATATATAAATAAAAAACAATTTCATCTATATTTATAAATAAAATCAATTTTATTATCAACTCAATTTAAAAATCATCTTATAACAACAACGATTGACAACTATTGCAAAATTGAATGTTGATTCAATCTATTGGCAAGCTGGTATGGGATTAATTATTTTATATAAAAATAATAAAAATCTAATCCATTAATATACCATAAAATAATTATTTTTTTCATACACTTTAGATAAAATAACTAAAAAAATTTAAGAAATAATATAAAATAATATTTCTCAATTTAAATATTGATGTGCCAAAATAATTGACTTACCGAGGTTGTCGGTCGAACCGCCTCATCTCGTGGCGCAAGAGAGCTCGGACATCTCGATCGCCTTTGTCTTCAAGAACCGGATCGACCTGCAAAGCGCCGGGACGGGGCCCGGCGTAGACACTCCGACGCTCAAGTCAGAAAACAGATGTTTTAATTGTGTATTTCAATAATCTTAAGAGCTTAGATCTAGAAAATGAACCTGAATCCTTATTTATAAGGATTTAATGGCTTCTTACCCAAGAAAAAGGTTTCTTTAATAACCAAGGAGTCTCATTCTCCCAAATCACTGTGTGGATATATACAAACTTACTTAAATATCTTTTAGGAACATTTCCTGGATCTTCATGGATATTTTTAACCCATACCATATATCGCATAAACGAGTTCTCAACTTCCTTAGACCAACCCTATCCGAGCTAACCATTTAGTCGGTTCGCCGAGTCATTTTTGGTGCTACATCATCTAGCCCCCCCACTCTAGACGAGCTTATGAATATAAGACTTGTCTATGAGTAGAACAATCATTTCTCGCCCAAGTCTATCTCGTAGGACTATGGCGTCCAGGTCCCATGGTTTACCACGTCGGAGTTCTGCTGCTACCTTTTGCGTACAGCTATGGCTCTCGGGCCAACTTTGCGCTTTCCTTGACTTTGTGGCCCTCGAGCAACCTGCTCAATGTTCTGCCACCTTAATACGTTTGACACTCGCACTATCTGCTCGAGTTGTAATGATGAATCCCGCATTTACGAGCTCCAGGAGGTGAGGTCTCTTTATACGCAAGCTCTCTAACTCCGTTGGATCCTCTGAGCTAACAACTCAAGTCAATCCACCGAGTGAATACTCGCTAGAACGAAGGTCCACGTGATCCAAACAACATATTCCAAGTGACATCGACTTTGTTGGTTCGAGTCGAGCACATCCACTATGGGTTATTCTCCCGAGCTCCACGAGTTCGAGCACCGCCACGATGGGCTAATTGCCCTCGATCCTGCTACAAGTCAGAGGACCGATTGCCAAGCTCCAAGAGCTCGGGCCACTCCACGACAGACTATCGCCGTAAATTTGGCAATGTCCGAGGACCCGCTGTCGAACTCCACGAACTCGGACAATACCAAGACAGGTTTTTTCCCTAAATTTGTCTGCGATTCTGATGACCCGCTGCTGAGCATATAATCACAACAATAATGCCAAGCGTATAAACACAACAACTATCCTGCCCTAATGCGGCGACAAGTTTAACTCATGCCGGGCTAGAATAATCTCGGTAATCATTTGAATTGGACATTTGCCGAGCTTCTCGAGCTTGAGTGATGATGACTTAACAGGCTTTCGCACACTGCCGAGCCCCGCGAGCTCGAGCGACTTCTTCAACAGGCTTTCGCCCTATCTCGACTATCGTCGAGCTCCGAGAGCTCGAGCGACTTCAACAGGCTTTCGCCCTATCTCGACTATCGCCGAGCTCCGCGAGCTCGAGGACTGCTTCAACAGGCTTTCGCCCTATCTCAATCATCGCTGAGCTCTGCGAGCTCGAGCGACTGCTTCAACAGGCTTTCACCCTATCTCGATCATCGCTGAGCTCCACGAGCTCGAGCGACTGCTTCAATAGGCTTTCTCCCTATCTCGGTCATCTCCGAGCTCCGCGAGCTTGAGCGGCTGCTTCAACAGGCTTTCGCCCTATTTCGATCATCGCTGAGCTCCACGAGCTCGAGCGACTTCTTCAACAGGCTTTCGCCCTATCTCGACTATCGCCGAGCTCCGCGAGCTCGAGCGACTTCAACAGGCTTTCGCCCTATCTCAACTATCGCCGAGCTCCGCGAGCTCGAGCGACTTCAACAGGCTTTCGCCCTATCTCGACTATCGCCGAGCTCCGCGAGCTCGAGCGACTGCTTCAACAGGCTTTCGCCCTATCTCGGTTATCGCCGAGCTCCGTGAGCTCGAGCGACTGCTTCAACAGGCTTTCGCCCTCTCTCAATCATCGCTGAGCTCCGCGAACTCGAGCGACTGCTTCAACAGGCTTTCGCCCTATCTCGATCATCGCTGAGCTCCACGAGCTCGAGCGACTTCTTCAACAGGCTTTCGCCCTATCTCGACTATCGTCGAGCTCCGCGAGCTCAAACGACTTCAACAGGCTTTCGCCCTATCTCGACTATCGCCGAGCTCGCGACTGCTTCAACACGCATCTTATGGCTCTAGGCCAACCCTGCACTTATCTTAGCAGGACAAAAACGTATGACGAAAGATATGTAAGAAATTAATATTTCTTTCGCAAGAAATAACCCAATGAAACTTGTCACGATATCTACACTTGATCATTGGAACGAGTAGAGACTAGCTTATGTACCTGGAGTTGAGATACCATTAGTGACCTTTTAAGAAAATAACCGTGGTGTGAATATTTTTAGTCGAGCCTCTTCAACCCATGCACTAGGCTACTGAGTTTCTCCTCGAGCCAATCCTCTCTAAGCAAATAGTGAGTGCCAAAGTGACCTCAGACTTTCGAATTTGCGAGTGCTAAAGCGACCTCGACTTGGCGTGAGGTCATCCGAGCCACATGAGTCCAACCCTCAGCCGATTATTACTGTCTTCGGATGTTAAACTACAACATAGAACTCCGCAAAACAAAATCGTGGAAACGAATTATCTTGAAATAACATCATAATCATCATTTTAAGCGGAAATAAATAGTAGCGTAGTAGCTATACCGGAAAAATGCTTTTTATATAAATAACCTGAGCCCGATGAGTTTGTCGGGTCCGTGATCCAGATCCCTTTGCCCCCTTTTGCTGGGTCGTGAGAGAATATTAGAGCATTGTAATATCTCGGGTCGTCCCGACTGCTCTACGTAAATTACTGGGCTTCACAATCGTTGGATTCTCCTAACCTCTCTTCATGTACGCGTAACACCTTGCCGCTTCAAATATCACACAACCTGTTTAATTATTTCTCCAAAACACTTGCAAGTGGCGGTAGCGGGCGGTCGACCGGTCACTAGTGGGCCAGACTGTAGCTCCAAGCTATGCACGATACTCAATGGGTACCACAACTTCACAAGATACCGCGGCTGAAGTTAGATACTGCTACATAGGGCTCTCCGCACAAATCTCGCTCCCAGCAGCTACTTCATTTCTTTTTTTCTTCCTTCTTTTGCTTTAGATCAAGCGGGCCTATAACATTTGAGACTTTAATAAACTAGGCCTAACAAACAAATCTCTGTATGGCCCAGCAGCCGAACAACCTCTCGTCCCAACAGACAACTTGCGGCCCAACAGCTGAACAGGCCCAGCTGCCAATTTTTGAGCCAACTGTGCACCGTCATCTTCCTCACGCCCCGCACATAACCTGCTGCTGAATATCCCCTCTTTGTTCTGCTGCTTGTACACTTTTTCTTTTTTGAGAGCATCCCCGTAACTCCGCCTCAGTCCTTTCAAGATTTTATGTCGGCTCTTTCCAGATTTTATGTTTACAAAAGCCCGCAGCTTGTCAAAATTGGGCCCAAAATTAGGCCGACTTGATTATCTTCAGGATCCTTTTGCGGCCACCGAACCTGCTTCCGCCGGCATCGTGCTACTGCCGCCACCGTGACAAGCTTCTACCGAGGAGACTGCTGTCACAGACTTCTCTGGCCTCCAAAGTTGCAGCTGTGCTCGTCGGGACCCGACCTGGCTGCCACCAACATCTCCACCCTCGACCTTAAATCATAGCACTCGCTGGGCCGACCTCACGATGGCCCAAATTGCAACTCGGTAACCCTACCTGAAACTAGCGAGGACTTGCGACCGACCATCGCTTGCGGCTCGTACCCGACAATGGCTGGGAGCGAACGTTTAATACGGCAGTGTCTTTCGCGGCGACCGAACCACAGATGCGGTGGCTGACCAAAAACGTCTCCAACGGTACAATTGCCCGGGCCAGCTCCCAATTGTTTACCTCCGCGAGAGAGGCTCGTCTTGGATAGTAGAGGCCACGTGGGAGTCGTTGTCCCTTCGGCTAGATCAGAGAATCCGAAAAGCGGTGCTGCTCGTTGGTCGGGAAATCGAAGAAATTTGGCCAGCTGGGTTGTTGTTCCGTCGAGAAATCAAAGAAATCCAGCGGGCTGTTGGTCGGAAAATTGAAGAAATCTGATGAGCCGCGCTGCTTGTTCGTCGGGAAATGAAAGAAAATCGGCGGTGCTACTTTCCTGTTTGACCGGAGTTACGAGATGGTCGGAACACGTGGAGTCGGGCTACGCGAGAGCCGATGTTGTCAGACGGATGCTGCTGAATCTCTTTGTCCACTTTGTCTTTTTTGAGAGGATCCCCAATTGAGGTGGGCTGGGGTGAATCTTATTTTACACTATTTGGGCCAATTAAAGCACTAGGTCCAAATTATCATGTTCCTTTACTTGTATGCAAATTTTGCTCAGGGCCGTGATTTTTGAACTGGAATTACTGCCCAGACCAAAGCTTTCTTTTTCTTTTTCTTTTTTTATAAAATCGAACTATTCCGGAGAATGGATACGCATCGCATCTAGATTACCGAATATCTCCTTTTTTTCAATGAATTTTTTGAATATGCCGGAACAGGGACACGGAATTTTTGTGTACAGTGGAATTCGAGAATAGGATTTCTTCTTTTCATAAGTCGATTTACCTTTTTCCGGTAGAACTCGATTGTCCCCACAGACGGCGCCAATTTGATGTGCCAAAATAGTTGACTTACCGAGGTTGTCGGTCGAACCGCCTCATCTCGTGGCGCAAGAGAGCTCAGACATCTCGATCGCCTTTGTCTTCAAGAACCGGATCGACCTGCAAAGCGCCGGGACAGGGCTCGGTGTAGACACTCCGACGCTCAAGTCAGAAAACGGATGTTTTAATTGTGTATTTCAATAATCTTAAGAGCTTAGATCTAGAAAATGAACCTGGATCCTTATTTATAAGGATTTAATGGCTTCTTACCCAAGAAAAAGGTTTCTTTAATAACCAAGGAGTCTCATTCTCCCAATTCACTGTGTGGATATATACGAACTTACTTAAATATCTTTTAGGAATATTTCCTGGATCTTCATGAATATTTTTAACCCATACCATATATCGCATAAACGAGTTCTCAGCTTCCTTGGACCGACCCTATCCGAGCTAACCATTTAGTCGGTTCGCCGAATCATTTTTAGTGCTACATCAATTATATTATATGAAAAATTGAATATTATTATATTATTTGAAATAGTAAATTTAAAAGAATATCACAATTAAATATAATAAAATAATTTTTTTATTTCATACAGTTAGAAAATAATACATTTCTACGTAAATTCTAAATTATTAATTATATAAATTTAAAATACTTGAAAAATTAATAAACGTGAGACACTGACTATATAAATATAAATATAATCAAAATACAATAAAATTTGTTTTGTTTAAAAAAACGAATCAAATAAATGTAGTTGTAAACAATATCAGTTTTATACATATATAATTGTAAAAATATAATTAAAAATATCTTCTTTGACAAATTTAGTATAAAAATATGGGTACCATTGAATTAAATATCACTTTGTCAGTTATTTATTATTGTTGCATATTCATCATACGTAATATCACAATAAAAATATTATTTTACTTATAAATATTAATATATTTAATTACCCGTGTAGTACACGGGTATTGTACTAGCATGCATATAAATACATAATTCACTTATTTTTTATGTAAGATTGGTGTAACAATACAAAAGTATATTTATTAAAATATAGTATATTTTTTTAAAAAAAATAATATTAGTATTATCATAAATAAGAAAATAACATTAATATAAATATTATTTTTGTTCTATAAAAAATAGTGATAAATGACAATATACGATGACAATGACATTTCATTCCGGTCTTATTCCTTCTGCATATCAAACGCATCAATGACAAAACTTGTTTCATTCCTTCCTCATAATCATTTTATTCTTCAACTCATTCAATTCCTACTAAATTTCATTTCATTATATCAATCATACCATTAGTATTATTTCCCTTAATTTTATTATTTAGTTGGTAAGAATATATGTATTATTTAGCATATTTATTTACTTGTTTGGCAAGATAGAGATTCAAGACTGTATTGGACTCTATTTATTGTGTATCTTGCATCATAGCCGATCGGTGATTAAGAAATAAAGAACAGATTTTTGAGATTTTTATCTCGTATTCCTCTTCGTTCACGTTGCGCTACACCACATATTATCCGAGTTTCATATATATTCACATTTGGTTAGCCGAGCTGTCTGAACAACTTATCACCTCTTAACTAACCGGCCTAACTATTCTTCAGTAGTCCAAACCGAGCTAACCACGACTGATTCCACCAACTATTCCTATGTGTATTATCAAAGTGTTTGCTATGATATGTAGTTACAAACGCTNTTTCCACAACTATTTATCGTGGTAAGCCACTTACGAACTAACCTCTATATATATCAGGCATCTCAAGCGTGGGTGGGAAGTGGCTTATGAAGAAACCGAAAGCACTTGACCATATAGTTGCTGGCTATTGCAGCTTAGGCTGAACAACACAGCACCTCGCTCAAATGTACTTTTTTTTTTTATGAAAAAATAAAATAATGTAGCTTGGTTCACAATTTTCTGTTGTGTTCATTAGTGTGAGAAAACAAAAGAAAGAATAAATCACATTGTCATGATATAGCCTATAACTTCACCTCTTCTTGCTAAATATCTTAAATGCTTCGATTAATCAAATTAAAGGCGTTGGTGTTAAAGTTGTACTCGCTAACGTATTTTTTATGTACTGTCTTCGTATTATCATGAAATTCAGATTGATCCTGAAGAAGAAAAGGAGAATGAATACTGGAAAAAGAGATAAAGGCATCTGTGGAGAACCTCTACTTTTTTCTTTGATCTTTCTGAAGAGACAAGATAAAATAAGCAAATAGAAGGCTTGAGCTATGATTAAGATGAAAATAGCCAACACTGAATCAAACTTGCCAACTGCCCAGAAGATCCGAAGAACCAAAACTCGATCATCTCCGGTATTTACAACTCACACTTTGTGACAATTGCAACTTTTTGCATGGTTAAGACTCGAACACACTTGAACAAAGAAAAGTAATACTACTAAAATTAATCAAAGATTAATTCCTCCAAGAAACAATTAATTAAAGGGAAGAAAAAGTGTTGTAATGAATTAATTGGAGGGGACGTGGTAATATTTTCCTTTGCACATGCAGCGGTAGATAACGGGACATGACTCAACCGAGCATTTAGTGAAGCTAACGATGACCCTGTGGCAAGGGGTGCATGGCCCACATGCATGTGAACAATCTGGAAGACTCGAACCCGTTAGATATACCTCCAACTCCATTCCTCTTTCACTCTGCCCATCACACAAAACTACGTTACTCTTCCAAAAATCACACCTTTCATATATAATAATCTTGTTTTCCTAGTTTTTATTCTTAATAAATAAGGAGTTTGTCTCAATTTGTTCAATTGGGATTTCAATTGACATTTTGAGACTTTTTAAGATTTGAGACTTTTTGAAATTTCCAGATTTTGGAGGAATTTTTTGAAACCTTAAGTCTAGAGGTGAGATTTAAAGTTGTATTTCCTTTAAGGTTTTTTCTTTAGAAATCCCGCCAAATATTAAAAAATCTTAACAAATTATTGTTTTAATAAGTTAAATAACCTCAAGATTTTGTAATACACTTTAAAATCTCAATTGAATATCACAAGACTTTTAAAAGTCTTAAAAAATCTTAACATGTCTAAATTGAATACACCAGGATTTCTAAAGACTTTTTGTAAAGTCTTAAAAATCTTTAGAAATCCCAATTGTATTCAACCCTTTAATTCTCTTGTACCTTTTGCTGCATCTTGCTTTCCTCAACCTTGTAAGCACCTGTCCCATGGTGGCTAACTGAAATATATTCATTGTTATTCACTTCGTATCTTAGCAAAAAGTCAACCAACAAAAAATATACAAAACTGAGTTTGACGAATAACTGATGAATAATAATGATTATTGGTTAATTGATTAATGGAAAGTACAGTCAATGAAGTTTGATGATATATTTATGGACAAGAAAAGTCAAAAGCTCTATTTTATTTTAGTTTTGGTGTAACGTTTGAGACTAGACCAACTTGACCGTGTTTCAAGTTTTTTTTTTTAAAAAAAAAAAAAAAATGAGAGAGAGAAGTTGAGGAGAAATATATAAGAAACAGACGAACAGAAAGAAAAAGAAGAAATGGCTGGTGCTTATACTTACATTGATAAGGCCTAAGGGCCTCACTAGTAGTGAGTAGCAAGAAAATAATAAGCAAGACAAAGGAGAATGTGTTATTTGTTGTGCTCATTTTCTTTGACAAAATCAAATGGTATTGAAGTTGGTGAGGGCATATTGTCATATTGAGACATTCGGGAAGGTTTATAACAGCTGTGGGGAGGAAAGAATTTAATGTTGCAAGTACATCTGATGGACTTCACATGAAACACGGCTGCCTGAACACAGAGAGTCACGAGTTTTGTTCTGTCCCATAAAACTAGTTTCAAATTCAAATACATGATTAAAGTTTAAACCTCCTTCATCGAAAATCAAATATACGCATAAATAAGTAAAGCTAAGCTTTCGTTGGACCTTTGACAAAAATCATTATTACAGGTTGGTTGCTTATTTTTTTATCCTTATGTACTCCATCAGAAAAGTTTATGTCGATTTTACTTGTTATATTGTTCAGGCTGAGGCGATTATTAAAAACATTTCAAGATTTGTGAATAACGTGCCATATAATCTTTCCTTTATAATCATGTTCNTATATATATATATATATATGTATACATATTTTATATATGTATAAATAAATAAATAAATAAAAAGAAGCACATCTCATGTGGATATAAAGAATGCTAATAGAAGTTGCTAGCTAGCTACATTTGGGAGAACAGGAAAAAGAAATAAATGATTTATTAATGGTGGGGAATGGATAGAAATGAGGGGATTCACGTGCCGATGAAGAAGTAATTGACATGACATGAAAATTGGCGAGTAAATGGAAGCCAAGCTGCATACATGAACTTGAAGAACTTCCATTTATTGTTTATTATTTCCCTTCATTTCTGTTTAGAGTTCCATATGTCACAAATTGTAATTTGAAAGTCTTCAATATTCGCTCATCATTCAACTTACAATATAGTGTTGTGTTTCTCATCCATCAAACTCATGTATAAATAAAGTAGGCAAATATTTATGTGCATGTACAAACAAAGTATGAAGCACTAGTTACTACTTCGATTATCCTGAATTCTTCTATATTGCCCCAAATTGTACTTAAACCGAGAAACAGACATTTGGATCCTGCTGGAATTAGGTTTTCTATCGTTGGATTCAATAGTAAAAACAGAGAACCCAAACAGGCGAATGTAGTCACAAATTTACCTCCGAACAAACAACTGGAATCCCCAAATACACACAATAGGAGTTTATGTAAAAGTGTTAAACAGGTTGCAAAACTGCAGCACTTGGAAAAATTATATTTCCACAACACAAAGCTCTTGCGCAATTGTACATACATACATACATATATCTTATCACATATATGAAAAAAAAAAACGCATAAATGAAATGAATGAATCATACAGCCAATTGAATGTCCCCAAGATCTAGCTGTGTTGCAATCTCCTCAAGTTGCTTCTTCACGCTCAAATCAATCAACTTAGAACCCGAACCTCCATAGCGGATTGTGAACCCAGCCACCAATGACGGGTCTATCCGCGTCTTCACGCGCACGTTCTTAGCCCCCGTAAGCTTCTGCACCTCCTTTGCTATCTGCGCCAAATGCTGCGCCTCCAGCTGTACCACTGACGTCACCACCGCAACTTGCGTATCAGTCAATTGGTTGTACATCGCCTCGAACTCCTTCGCAATCTCCCCAATCTGCTCGATCCGCTTCATGTCCACCAAAATGTTGAGGAAATTCGATACATACGGCTGCAGCCCACAGGATTCCGAGATCTTGTCAACGATCTCGCGCTTCTCATCCTCGCCGACGGTCGGGTTTGTGAAGAAGCCGAGCACCGCCTCGTCGGAGAATATCTCCTCCAACTTCTCCAGCTCGGCGGCGGTCTGCTCGAGGGTGCCGTTCGATTGGGCGATGTCCGCGAGAGCGTTCGCGTAGCTACCGGCGGCGGAGTTGGCCATGCTCGCGCCGAGAGCGCCGCCGCGGCGACGGCGGCTGACTGCGAGGCGGGGGAGGCTCAGGCCGGAGAAGAGGGATAGCTTGGATACGGCGTTGGGGCGGATCGAAACCGACGGCGGCGAACGGGAGCGGAAAGTGATTGGGGTTTGTTGTAAGGCGGCGGACATTGTTGATTCTCTACTGTAGTCTGTAGGTTGGTGGTGTTGAGATTGAAGAATTTTGAATGTGCGGATTGTGGAAAGGGGGTTTTTGGGTGGGTAGCCAACGGCTGGGATTGGAGGAAACTAAGTAGACGGTGGAGATTATAGGCAACCTCATCAAGTGATTGTGGAGAAGGATGGCATCTTATCTAGTGGGAGATAAGGAGTTGACACGCGGCGGTCTTCCATTACAGCAGTTTACAATCCTCTACAACAGCTCACCATTTTAACAAAAAAAGTTTAAAAGTATTTCGCAAAACTTTTAAGAATTTAAAATTTTAATTTAGATTTTTAAAAAAAATGTAATACTTAAAGTATTCATTTGAAATTTTATAAAATACTACAAAATCATAAATTTTTTAACTTATTTAAAATTAGGATATGTTAAGACTTTTTAAATTAAGCTGAAAATTCTAAAAACAAAAAAATTATACGAAATCTCACTCAAAATCTCACCTCAAGATTTAAGATTTCACGTAATTTCTCTAATTCTTGAAAATACTAAAAAGTCTCAAATTTAAAAAAAAAAATTAAAATATCACTTGAAATTTCAAAGGAATACACCCAAAAATTTCAAATATTTTAATATAGCATGTGTTTAGCTTAACTTCAATATAAACTAACATTTTTATTTTATTTTTTCATTTTTACTTGGTCAATATGAAATAAATACTGAGATCTGAAGTATTTACTTGGTCAGTATATAATAATTTTATCCTTTTGTAGGCCCATTCAATACATCCAGAATGACTAGTGTAATCCATTAGTAAAAAACCAACTAATTTAAATATCACACTACAGTCTTTCACGTTCACGATAGGGAGTTCAATTCTTTTATATGTTGTGAACCATTATTTATATTTTACAAAAAAACGATAATATGATCATACTATTCCAGACCCATGACCATATTATCTAAAATATAAAATAAAATAACAATGTTTGCATAAATAACTTAACTACTAACATCCACTTGACTAATAACACAAAGCTCATTCAAAATGGACTTGTTGAGTAACACAAAGTCGATGTTTTACAGTATACTCCAACAATACAATCCACGCCGACTGTCACTCAAATCACATGACATTATTTTCAAATTTTTCTAGTGAATTTCAAGAATACAGGAGAAGGGGATTAGGATTCTAGAGCCTGAGAGCATCCAGAATGCTTTGGGTTCAACCACAAAAAATTGGATGCCACCTAAGAAATAGATCTAATCTAAAAAAATGTATTCTCCAATGAAAACAAAAGTAGACTGAGTCTTGCTGATGTGGGAGTCAGAAAAAGAGACTCGGTCTACCCTTATGTCTATTTTAGACCCAAATAAAGACCTAGTCTCTTTGCATTGGAGTGGATTTTATCAATTTTACATAATTTTATCCATGTCATTCAAGACTTAGGTTTACTTACAATAAAGACCTAGTCTCTTTGCATTGGAGTGGATTTTATCAATTTTACATAGTTTTATCCATGTCATTCAAGACTTAGGTTTATTTACATGCCACATAAGCAAGACTAGACCCAATGCATTGTACATGGTCTGATTGGAAAAGTTTTGCAACTAAATTGCCATTATTTGTTGTGCCCATACGCCACTTCATCTTCCGGCGTGGACACGTCAATACACAATTCTGTCAATGCCATGTCAGTTCTCTGCAATCAGAGCCGTGAGTCATGATTCGATTTCGAAAAATGGTAAAAATGGTGTATTAAATTGCTAAACTACAAAGGTGGTGATTAAATTGCAAAAACTTGAAATGGAGTGCATATGCAATTTTGCCTAATAATAATAATAATAATAATAATAATAATAATAATAAACAGAGACAGGCATAAAATTCCACTCTTACCAAAAAGGCACAACCACAAAACAAAACTTTGAACAAGTCATGTACAGGAAGGTAAAAACAATTTGAAAACTAAAAAAACCTGGGATCACCTCACAAGCCTGAAAAGAACAAAAATGTTGCAAAAACTAAGAGTGATATCAACATACTGAAAACAGAGATCACGGTCATGCATTTTTCACTTGGAGTCTGTAAATGACTGCACACGAGAACTAAGATGAGACCTCTATTATGTAAATAAGTTCGGGTAGGAAAAAAATGTCTCGTCATCCATTGACGCCAATCCATGAAGAGGCTTGTCAAAACTGCCATTAGCAGACACAATATCCCTCTGAGGAGAGAAGGAATCGAAATCCTCTTCTCCAGCATCATACAAGGGCTGAGAACTAATCTCACGAGGCAAATACTCATGCCATGTTGTCGAACAAAGGGAACTATCAGAATCTGCAAGCAGGCAACATGAATTCAATCCATCCTTCTCCCCCAAACACGACTCACGTTTCTCGAGATGAAAAGGATTTTCAGTCTCTTCGTTCAGCTTGTTTTTCTCAACGAGCTCACTAATTCGAAGTCCAGCAATTCTAGCCGCTGAGCGTGCGGCCACTGCAGCGCGCTCCGCGCTCTCGGCTGCCATTTGTGCTGCTGCCAACACATCTTGTAAATCTAAGTTGGTATTATTTGTGGTTTCTTTGATATTTTGTTGTTTGACATCAAAAAAGGCTGGAGTTTGTGATGGAGGATACATAATCGGCACAAACTGTTTTTCCTCCGGCTGACAAGTTGACTTCTCTTGCGAAACATTCTTCGGCACAGAGTGTGAAAAATGCTCGTTACTTTTGGAATCAACTTTTTGCTCTTCTTGATCTTCCTCATCATCAGAAAATGCGGATGCAGGGAAAGGCAGCATCTCGAGGACCGAGACATTGCCTTTATTAGGCTGTAATGACCGTTTAGGAACTTCTGGAAAATCTATGATCTCGAAATCTTCATCCAAATCCGAGAGTTCGGGGATGGGATGTTTTAAAGTAGCCGAATTTGTCTCGTCATGCTTTTCTTCCGGAAGGGGCAGTTTGGAAATACTAGCCGTATGGGTCTGAACATGCTGGAAAGATTTGTCAAATAATAAGAAACAAAAAAGCAGACACTGTGTGTGTGTGTGTGCGTGCATTCTTACGAGTAAGTCTTCATGGGGCTTCAATAATTCACTTTCAGAGGCAGTTGGATCCCAGTCGAGCTGATGCTCTTCAGCAATTTCCTTCATAAGCTTCAGTTTAACATCACCTGCAGGGGCTCGGACGGACAAAAGCTCAACTAGCTGCAATTTAATAGTGTTAAACATTTGCAACAAACAGAAGGTAAAAGATGTTGCAAGGGAAAAAATTTGTGCTGACCTGGCGATTGACACCACATTCAGGCATAAGCTCAGTTGCAGCAGAGACAAATTCTTTACCATATTTAGCAGCAAATATAATTCGCACTTCTTGCAGCTCCGGGAGATCAGCGCACCTTGGTGCCGCAAAGCATAAACTGGAAATAGCTTCTTTCAGGTCCAGAGGGCATTCCCTGTGGAAAGTGCACGACAGGTGTAATAAGCTTCATATGATAATTTGTCCTTGGAATACAATTATATTGCATTTAAGGGAAAAATATACAAGGATCAGAATAGTTGTCTTGGATTATGTGACTAAGCAATAGAGAAAGGAAATCACTGGTTACATTACACTTACAAATATTGTACCTGCAAAAAGAAGATTATGGAATCAATATTTATTCCCCAGAAAATATCTTGTTGTTATTATTTGTGATGCTAATATGCTATCATCTAACAACCACTAGGGAAGAAAGATACCAAAAAGATAGCTTACACTATTATGTGTTCAACTCAAACAAATATCTGTGCACTGCTGAGTCAAGCACCCAAATCTTTTTCAGGGAAAGAAGGGTTTGATGATTGTGAGTCAGAGAACTTTGTCAGTGTTGAGTGTTCCTACTTTAAAAGTGAAGCCCAGGAATGTGCATTTGGAGAAAGCAAGAATAAGCAGTGAACATTAACTTTCAGTGAATGAAAATGCAATGGGGAACACAAACTAACAAGTAATACTTACAGGCAAAGCCATATCAATCGTACATCATCCCATAAAATAAATGCATTAAAAATGAGACATGTTACAATAGTTCTACCAACAAAAGAAGTATGATGATTATGCATGCACACACACACACACACACACACACACACACACACAAAAGAAAAAAACATCAATCATCCCTATCACACTATCTGGATAAAAAGGTTTCAAAAGTTCACTATCAATGACTCATTTCCTGCATTATTTCTGTAACTGGACAATTCTTTCTCCACTCTTAAGACATGTAACAGGTCAAGATAGGGTTTTTATGATATCAGCATGACATCTTGACTGAAGGATTTAGCGAAGTTTTTAATTAAGGTTAATTAAGAGAGAAGATTCTCTAAGAAGAGAATTGTTTAGCCAGACATTTTAAAAACCACATACAAACAGAAAGACCAGGTCGTTCCCTAGGAGATACTACCAACTACGCAAAAATCTTGCATGCTTGTTGAAAATCATCATGCTTGTTGCAAATAATTAACCTAGAGATTGAATGGTCCCTTTTGCTACTTAAAACAGTAAAACCCATCTTTTGAAGAAGAGCTTCCCACAAAAGAACAGAGAAACCAAATTGATCTTATTGTTGTTTCTTTCACAGAAGTTGTGGATGGAGGAAAGGAGCTCTTTTCTAGTGTTCAAATTGGATAAACAAACATTGGGAGTGGCAAGTGCCACACTATTTACAATGACCATAGTATTTGTAGTTGTCACTAATAACATTACATGCGACATAGCAATTTTACGAAACACATAATAATACCTTTGTGCTTCAATAATCGGAAGGCGTACGCTAATGAGCTCACTGAACAGTTCAACAATTACTTGTGCCGCCGTCATTTTCTCTTCCCTTATGATGTGCTCTACCTGCGTACACAAGAAAAGCTCGTATCTATTATGAAACCACAAAAATACAAATTTGTATTGTCTTAAATTTCTATAAAAACACGACAAAAAGGGGGAGAAAAGGAAACATATAGTATTTATACATACACGAATCCGAGCGGTGGCTTCCTGACCAGTCTCAAGGAGCTTCGCAATCTCTCGGCGCATCTGCTTTATCTGAATCTCTCTCTTATTCCTCAGCAACTTTATTCGAGGGATTGTAAGTTTCAGCAAGGTTTTACTGCAATTAGCCACATAATATATCTATAATCAAAGCTCACAGTTATGACTGTCCTATTTCATTCATGTGTTTCCCAACTGCGAAACATAACATAGAAAATCAGAAACGAATACAAGATACTTTAAAGTCGCAGTTCTTGTAATTCACGATAACTTCATTCCAGTACGTTCTGAATTAAACCTCCAGATATCACCTCAGTAAACTTTTCAAAAGCTAAACCGATTAATTCGTACCGAAACGGGAAAAAAACAATGAGAAATTACCATTGGGCGGCTTTGAAGCCTTTGCTGAAGAAAGAATCTAGCATCGCCATGGCCGAATATCTGATTTAAAGTACCGCAACTGTAATCAAATTGAGGTTTTTAATCCAAAATCCGTATTAGGGAGAAGAGGTAATCAAAGATAAGATCATATATATATAGTTATATATATAGGAAATTTGCAACACGGGTAATGAGTATGATAATGCGACGCGCATCAGCGCGGCTGGTCTCCTTAGTTTCGAAGGCTCTTCCTTGTCGATGCTTTGGTTCTTTGACAAAGGAAATTTAATTACAATCTATCAAAATTGACAAGAGGTATTTATTTAAAATCTTTAATAAACAAAAGTTAAAGGGCAACGTACACGTGTATTTAGGAAAATTTATGCATTTTTTTATTTTAAATTTTTTTATGAAACTCTCTTATATTTAAGTTACTAGGAAAATCTATTGCACAACCGGCCCACGGTACATATCATTGCCATAGTCAATAAAGGAACCGATAAAGAATATGTGTCTGTATGTATGTTTCAATAGTGAAATGTAGTGCAATATTTACAACTAAGTGCAGTCATATCTTGTTCGTTAGAAATTTAATTTTGAATCAGCCAATTCATTTTGTTATAAATTGTGAAACTCCTAATAATAATTTGTAACTCTTAACCCAATAAACGTCCAAATTTATATTATAATCAACATGTAACATAATAATTTGTAACTCCTAACACGATAAACGTCCAATTTATAGCATAATCAAGTCTAAAATATAACATAATAATTTATAACATAATAATATAGTCTAATTTATAACATAACTATTTTGAATAAATAACATAAAAATTTAAAAAAAAAAAAAATTACGGCCGGCCGGCCGAACCGGACGGACCGGTTCCGACCGNAAAAAAAAAACATTCATTACATCATTGTTGGGCATTGTCGTAATCCAACTTAAACTTAGCCAGCTATTCTTCGACTTCCGCCGCCTCCGGACAGTCTGGAACAATCTGCTGCAAGGTCGATGTAATGCCCAAAAGACGGTCCACCCACTAAAAAAATGAAAGAATAAAAAGATAAGACTAAAATTTATTCAAAAAAAATTATTGTAATGAATTAACATTAATTAAAATTTAGTAACCAACTTACATAGGCGGTATTGACACGCGTTGGGACCTCGTTCTCGTCCGGCAGCTCCTCGCCCATGAGAGTCGGATGGGAAACCCGACTGTACCACTGCTGGTAATCCTCAGTCGCCTCCCCGCGATCCTGTGTGGTGTGGGTTAACATACCGGTGTTGATCGTCCCAGATATCGGGAACTGGGTCCAGGCACCTACTGCACCAGCCTCAGAATGTTCAACCTTGTAGTTCCTAGACTCCCAAGCACGTACTGCACTGATGCGGGTATATAGGGGGAGGGACAGTCTGGACATACCCCAGCTGACGCAGACACCGCGCAGGCAAGTACGGCTCGATGACATCGCGGTATCGAATCAATCCGCTATAAAGAGTCCTCGGCTCTATCGCATCTGGGCTGGAGCTGCCGTATGGCAACCATTGCACCTATTCACAATGGCATAAGAGCATTTATAAAAATAATTATATTATTTTAAATAACGGGTAACTAAATTTAAATAAAATAACTTCACGTACATCGGAGGCAGTGAGTCTGTCGAGGCGCCGACGGATGGCTGTGAGCCGATCGTCTGACCGTGGCGCATTCCCTACGCTCCACGAGCGTGATCGTGCGAGACAGTCAGGACCGATGGGTAGACGCCCCGGGGTCGGAAATCCGGGAAATACTCATATATCCAGGACTGCAGAAGAGTGAAGTAACCCGACATCTGGGCAGAGTCCCCTCGGCTGGCAATACCTAGCTGTCTGTACATGTATGCCAGCGTAGCCGATCCCCATGAGTAACCCCCAATCAAATCCAAGCCGTCGAACACCTCGTGCAGGAGCTTGGGGGTCACTCTACTACCACTCTTGTCGACGAACAAAGTGGTAGCCAGCATCACCCACATCCAGGCACCCGCCTCATCCCTAGCCGGCCGGCGTTTCCCCCTGAATGCCCCCGAAATGGCGGTTTCGGACACCGAACCACGCTGCCAAAACGAACTCATGAGTTCGCCCTTGGTGACCGAAAGTATCGACATGCAGAGCCCATGGCAGGCGTCCGAATCCGGGTCCTCAACGACCACGACTCCCTCCGTTGGAACGTCCAAAATGGCCTGGACGTCGTGCAGCATGATGCTCATCTCACCAAAAGGCATGTGAAACGAGTTAGTATCCGGCTGCCATCGCTCCACAAAAGCAGAAAGGAGTGGGGTGTCCAAGTGGGTGTGCATGGAGTCGACCAATGTGACAGTCCGGTCTGGTCGAGAAGAGCTCTCGCATCGGAAGACATCTCTTCACGCCAAGCCTTCAGATTCTCGATCGCTCGCAGTCTGTTGTGGCATTTCAGCGGCCCCCTCAAATTCCCACTCCACATGCGGGAGGCGACGTGCCCAAGAAAGCTAGGGATGACACTCCCATCAATGGGCCCACCGGGCACTGGGCCTCTAACGATCCAAGGTGCATCATCATCGGTCCTAGCTCGTTTGCTAGTACCTGCATTAAAATACAACATATCTGCATATATTGACTTGCTGACAGATGCATTAAATAAAATATATTTAATAAAACATATTTTATTAGTTACGTTACATTTTACATTTTACGTTATTATTATAAGCATATATAATTTATAATTATTAATATTATTTTTTGAATTTATAATTAATTACAATTTATTCAACTTACCCTAAATTACAAAATAATTATACTGTAGTTGAGGAGCAGGCCGATAATACTTTTCTAACAGTACCGATAATTTGTTATGATTAAGTGAAAATAATTTATGTTAAACAACAATAAATAAGTAAATTATTTACCTGATGAGGATGCAGATGGGCCAAAACGGCCCCCAACCTGTCGTTGAGGAGCAGGCTGTGTGGGACGAACAGCATGTACCGGACGAACATGCTGTAGAACCGGCTGTACCGGACGAACTGGCTGTACAGTAGGACGAGGGTGGTTAGGACCTGTAGGCTGTGCGTGGTCCTGATCATCTGAAGAGTCGTCCGAGTCATAGTCCTCTGGACCCGGCTCCCTCTCGCCGTACGACTCATCATCAGCATACCCCTGCTGACCATAAGGTAATGGTACGCATGCACGGGGGGGTAACGACTTTCCTGCGTAGCGGGGAAATGCACATCCCGGCTGATCGTACGGTCCTGGTGCCGGGGGCATCGTCCTGCCCGTCTGGCAGGATAATAAAATCCATGTTCACCGTACGGGAGGGCTCCGTGGGGTCGCGAACTACGTGGCTGGCCCTCAAAATGATATGGACCAGTGGGCACTGGTGCGGGGGGCGGGAACTCTGGCTCGCCTGACGAAGCTGTACCCTACGAGCCTCATCGATCAACGCCTGCCTTTCCGTGTCCCTCTCCCGACGAACGGACGCATTGACACCCCGACTTCTAGTGTGTCGGGTGCCAGAACCATCATAATAGTCATCGTACCCCGCGGCTGGAATTAGAGAGTTAGGTTTTCAGCGATTTGGGGGAAAGAGGGATTTGGAGATAGAAAGTCCAATATTTAAGGGCTCGTTTAAATAAAGTTGATTGAGTGGAGGATTGTGTGAGATATAAAGTTTGACTTTAAATAATATGTAAAATATAATAATTAAAGTTGATGTGATGTAAAAGTATGAACAACGTTTGAAATGATAAGTTGTTAAAATCATGTAAGTGAATGAATAGTGAAAATGATAGATAATTAAAATTATGTGAATGAATTAATAGTGAATTAAAATTGATGTGATGTGTAGTAGATAATTGATTGATTTTAATTATATTAATAACATTGATGAGAGTTGTATTGAATAGTTAATTTTTGAGTTAAATGAGTGTAAAAAAATGATCCGATCAATCAAAACCAATTTTAATTTATAGCAAATCGTACCCTCACAAATCCAAGTATCAGATACATTAAATAACTCAAGATTTTTCTAAAATCCTAAATGAATATCTCGATACTTTTAAAAAGTCTAACTTAAATACTCCAAGATTTATAAAATGTTAAAAAGTCTTTAGAAATTGAATACAAAGTCTCATCTTGAAACAAAGAAAATTATTCGCTACATTCTTTCCTTGCATCATTAGTTAGCGGCATTAACAAAGAAAACTCTCAACAAAAATTGAGTTTAAAGAGTTACTTTTACTATATAAGTGCACGACCTTCCAATAATCAGCTCACGCGTTTTTCTCATGCAAGGGCTCGTTAGATAATGTGCCATTTTCATCATCACCTTCATCTTTAGGTGATGAGGATTTGGTGACCCTTACGTCCAACTCATCCGACTCTACTTCTGAGTTTGATTTTTGTATGCTAAGAGGCACCGTTAGAGAGGAAGAGGGCGTTAGGGATTGAAAACCATCTGTTTTCCAAAATGAAGGGATCTTTTTGTCGTCCTCTCTCATCCGCTCGGCATACTTTGTGATGTCGAAATCCGAATCATCTTTTCCGCCAAATGCAGACTCCACAAGTTCCATGTCAAACAAGTTGTGCATTATCTTCGTTGTGTTTTGGTCGTCTGCGTAGACAAATATGACCTTGTTAGCCGTTTTGGGCTCTAGAAAGGGCTTTGCCACCTGAAAACATAAGAATTCTAGGTCATTGATAAAGCTGCAATTGTCCGTTATACAATCAAATCATTGTGCACATACATAA